TCAGCTAATTTATTATTTCATTACTGATATTGCCAGAGTATATCCTGCCTTAGAATGTGTTCCGTGAAAACAAAATTGAATCGTTTTGTGTATGGCGCATTTTCTTTCCCCTCTGGGCTCTTCCCTTCCTTAATATCCTGACGTCATCTCTAACATACTTCCTGTGTCCATATTTTTTGTGAGCGTAGCGGAAATAGCCTCATCACCATTAGGTTACTAACAGCTGCACTTTAAATCCATTAAAAATGCCCATGACACTTTTCTTTGATTTATCAGCAGCAGAAATTGTTGAATGAATGTCAGCTTTTTTTATGGCATCGTTCGTAGGACAAGACGGAAATTTTAATTGTTCTGACTCTTTTGCATAGAGATACAACGTGTTTTCATTTTAGTAAAATAGTTTTTCCAACCATGGCTTTAAACAAGTTTCTCATGTTAACGTTCAGCAAATGGCACAAAGGAAAATTTTCAAGTAATTAAAAGGGTTTCATTAGTTTAATTCCACGCATCTTCAGCAAACAGATGACCATAGCTCACATAGATTCTTTTATATATACAGTGCAACCTCGGTTCTCGACCATAATTGCTTCTGAAAATCTGTTCTAAACCGAATTGTTCGAGAACCAAATCATTTCCCCCATTATTGTAAAAGTGATTAATTCGTTTCCAAACCCCAGATGAATGCTTATTGACATGCTTACAGTATATATTTTAGTATAAAACGTTTGTTCAATCAGTAAATAACACACAAAAGTGTAAATGAACAGAAAAAACATAATAGAAGTTAATTTAACATAACAACACTGTATTATGTACGTAGCTTTTTGGTAGCAATCTGATGGCATAAGTGGGTAGGGGTGGAGGAGGGAAGGGGAGGAGTTATTTTTAGAAGGGTGGGGGGTCCCCGTCCATAAAAACTTTGTACGGGTTTTTACTGAAAGAAAAAAGACAAATCCCAGAGAAAGATTTACCTGAGCCAAAGAGAATGGAAGAAACCCCCGAAAGACCAGAAGTTTTTTTGTTATTTACTGTTTGATTAAACGTTTTTATACTAAAATATATTTTAGTATAAAAGGCCAGATGCATGGGGCACCCAGTGAGGATCGAGCTCACTATCCAGTCGTAATTGATCTAGAGAGACCAGATTTCTAATCATTACACCACGTCTAAGTATCCACATAAGAACACTAATGATTATCGCTGTAATACTCTCTTGAACAATTTCTTGACAAAACTTCTTCTCGGCTTGAAATAAGTTAAATTCTTGTCATTTAACGTATTTTGACAGGCGTTAGTGATTTATGTTATTTATATATGTGATTTATATATATGATTTATATTTATATATATGATTTATGTTATTTATATTCAAGGTGCGATGGGTAAATTACCACCATTTTATATTTTTCATTTCGAGCATGCGTGTTGTTGTTTTTTGTTTTGTTTTTTTTTTATTTTGTCGACTGCATAGTATAGTAGGGTCAGTTGGGCACCGTCTGTGAGAAAAAGAGAACCATGACGCAATTCATTCCGCCAGAAACTTAGAAACAGTATACTGTACTACTTGGCATTCGATACGAACATTTCAATGTGTTTGGGTGTCAATTTTATGAGCTGCCGTACCTTTGTAATCACCATTAGACTCATCCGAGTCTAATGGTGATTACAAAGGTACGGCAGCTCATAAAATTTACTCTGATCGTTCTGATAAGAAAAGAACTCCCGAATTTGTTGGCGAGGTCCTCGGACTCAACACGGAGGCCCACATCAAGTACCTTGAGGACATAGTGCTGCCTTGGGTCAAGAGAGTGGCTACTGGTAGACCCTATATCTGGCAACAGGACACTGCATTATGCCACACAAGCAGGAGGACCCAGTCATGGTTGTCACACAATTTCTGCGCCAACATCATCCCTTACATCTGGCCATCTAACTCCCCAGACTGCAAACCCTTGATTATTATTATAATTATTATTATTATTATTATTTGTGGGACGATGAACTAAAGGCAAGGATCATGGCAGCATTCACCAACTTAAACACTAAAACCATCCAGATGAGATGCATGAGATTCTGAGGTCGTGTTTGAAGCCAATAGTGATTTTTATTGAATAAATTTACTCTTTAGTACTTCAAGATATTTTTGTGTAATTTTGGTAAATATATCTTTTAAAATGAAATTTTCATTTCTGCCTAATTAAGAAGACACTTTATCCATCGCACCCTATATATAAATTCTAACCTAAAATGCTTTTAATATTAATTACATTAAAAAATGTCAGGAAAAAAATGTTAAAAAAATGTCATATTTAGTTACATATTTCTATTTATTAGACATTTTACCTAAACTTTTCAGTTAGCCTGAAGTATAATTTTGGGCGTTCTTAAATTTAAAAATTCTTAAAAAAAAACACTACATAAATGTTTAGTTTTGTTTATAAATACTTAGTGTGAAATAAAATTCTTACATTCGCTTTGCTAAAGTTCATCAAAGGATGAAATGCGTCAATGAAGTTGTCAGTCTGTCTTTATTCATATATATATAGATAGATAGATAGATAGATAGATAGATAGATAGATAGATGAGTTGGACTCACCTGTCATCTCCGGTGTATGAACAGACTATCTACACATGATTTGATTATAATGGCGGAAGCGGCAGAACTAAACAAACTTTTCTGAAAAAAGGCAACAGAGGACTGGTCTCGAAACATCCCTCCTCAGGTTTATCATTCTTTGAAGTTATTCAAACTGTAAATATTCCTCTTATTCTTCATATATACAAAAGGCTGAAATCGACGGAATTATTTTATTGATTAATTATTACCTTCTCAGTGACGTCATTTATTTAATTTAATTTTTACAGTTTAAAAATCTCAGTCAAAAATAGTGAATTTGTATGTAATTTCATCTATGTGCCGTGTCCCTTCAAAACGTGAGTGATCTTCACTCTCCATAATTTCCTATCCTTCGTAGCTCTTAGGAATGTGTGTTCCTTTATTACACTCACATTGCCTGTTATATAACTCATTTGCAAATGCTCCCTAATTAAAATAATCGCTGCTTTTCGCTGTTCTTGCTTTCAATTTTCTGTTCTTATTATATACCCAGGAAATATTAGCTTTGTCATTTTATGCATAATTCATTTTTTTGTTAAAATGCCCTTGTTCTTCACATGTTCCGTTCAAGAATATTCTCAGCATCCTTCTGTAGATCATATCTCTGTTGCCTCAAGTCTCTTCTTAAAGCAACATGAATACGGAAAATGATATTACATCGTAGATACGATGATTGATATTACATGTATATTGCCGATCAATCTCGATATCCTATTGAATTAATTAAAAAATTATAAATTGTCTGCTTAGAATTACAGAAGTATTAAACGCTTGTGACTATCAGGCTATGACTATTGAAAAGTGTAAAAACAAAGTCAAGAGGTTTATATCAATTGAACCTTGTTCGAAATTAAAAATAAAACAACTTTGAGATTTTTCTTTTTATGGTATTATTTCAATTCATTTGTGCTGGAATAATTTCATTGCTGTTTATTTCAAAATAAAAATAACATAAAATCAAGGTTTATTCGAAATAACAAACATCCAAAAATAAATGAAACATAAACGTTCATTTTTCTACATTTTGCATTAATGCAATCTTATCTCTCTCGAGATCAAATATCGTTTTTATTTCATTGTTATCTTCCATAAATCTTGTTTCTAAAGTTGCGACTATAAGCAGAGACTACGTTCTTGTTTTTACTTCTTTCTAACAAAAAATCATCAAATTAAATGAATCTCTAGAAATCATATTTTTTGTTCATCACTTTCTTCGAAAAAGTTATGTTCGATTTTTCATGCTAATTACAATTTGTGTTATTCAAAATGGACAAATATGACGAAAGATGGTTAGTTGATTAGACAAGCCATTATTACTTAAATATATCTTCACTAGGTGGCGTCATTTTGTGAAATTCTGGATGAATGTGGTGCATTTATTATATTTTCGACTTCTGACAATGTTTTAAAACTTGCTCAGAGAATATAATTTACTGTTTGAATGTTGCAAGCTGCTAACCGTTACATGGTTTGTGATAAGGAAGAAAGTATCTTTGAAAGCCGAATCTTGCTGAATGAACTTTGCAAGTTACCTTGGAAGCCCGACATTTGAACCGAGCGTCTGTTTCCGTTGCTTTCAACTTTTGATCCTGTCCACCTGATAGTGGTTAAGACGTTTGTAACAAGAAATGCAATTGTTCATGACATGTAGCTTACAATAGTGCGACCATAATAAAATCTCTATTATATACTCAGCATATATATATATATATATATATATATATATATATATATATATATATATATATATATGAATTAATAGAAATATACCAATAATAATGAAACATTTCTCACTTAACATATATACATTTGAGTTTATATGAGACTTGAGCGATAAGATCTCGTACTGCGTGACGTCGCTAACAATGAAAATACATGTTTGTGTATGTACTCAATAGAATATAAAAACTTATTCAAACGTGCTTAGTGACAGTTCATTGTGTGACCGCACTGACTGGTTGTTTGTTTATGAGCTGTTGAAGATTGGATAAGCATGGAATAATAATAATACAACACAAAATGTACGTAAACAAAATGTATTGAAACAAGGAAAAGGTACACAATATTTACAGTTAGTTTTGGTATATTCTTGGGAAGACTGTTCCTGTAGAATGGGTTGACTTAATCGCAGTCGGGCAGAGTCTCTGGATTGGATCTCTTGTTACTTCCCTTCGTCTTACCGGTACCAACCCATATTTATATGGTCGGTACTCCACTATGTAAATTAGGTGGATCGTACCACAACATTAGCCATATCAAACTCTATGGGTTATTTAATTCCAAAATCTAAATGAATATAACGAAGCCAGCAGGAATTGGAATCAGGTTCTCCGAGTAATTATTCCGAGGCATTATCCATTACACTACCCGGACATCCACGCTTATAGCACCTTGTATTCCCAAGCGGTCATCCATCTAAGTAGTGACCAGGCTTGACATTGCTTAAATTCGGTGATCGTACGTGAACCGGTGTTTCAACGTGATGTGACTGTAAGCCATGACTGCACTGAGTAACAGAGCTCTTTACCAATGAGTTGTGCCTCCGCGTCATAAAAAAAAATAAATAAATCAGTCATTTCTGTAAAAGGGAATTAATTGTTGGGAAACCTTACGAGCTTTCAAAACATCCACAAAATAAAAATTTCAATAATTTTTAACGCGATGATATCACAAGATCATGTTGCTTTTAACAAACGACGCAAAAGAAAATGGCTGCAGATTTTCCCTAAAGCGTGAATTTCTTACCACGAAACTTTATATCATTTTTAAGTCAGTTTCATTTTTCTAAAACAAATTAGCATTGAATTGGAAATATTGCTTAAAAAGCAAGCATAGTCATTTTAAAAAAAGTATATTTACTTCATTTTCATATTGCTTTCAACATTCTATCTAATTCAAAATGATGTTTAATCTAATTTAAGAGCATCCGCCTAAAGAATATTAGTCAAAGAAATATTCAACTAAAGAATATTACTCAAAGGAACATCCATCTAAAAATATTACTCAAAGGAACATCCGTCTAAAGAATATTGGTCTAAGGAATATCCGTCTAAAGAATATTGGTCTAAGGGACATCCGTCTAAAGAAAATTGGCCAAAGGAACATTCGGCTAAAGAATATTGGTCTAAGAAACATTCGAGTTCCTCGACGTCTTGAAATATTGTTTCTTTGAAGTGTGTTTTGATTTTTGAAGAGGAAAAAGTCACAAGTGGCGAGACCTGCGGAATATATTTTTTGTCGGACCTAGGGAATATTGTCTTTAGCCAAAAAAAAATGCTCTATAATCCATAGTCACTGATCGAATTTCTGTATTTGTTGAAGTTATTGAATTTGTTTTTGCGTTTGTTGTTTTTGGTTTGTTTTTAGTTTTTTTTCTTATGAATCGTTGGTGGGGATCAAGTAATTTTTTAAAATTTTTGTTGCAAATAATCAGCTTATTTTTATTTTTTATTTATTTATTTTTTGCTGTTAGGTGATATATAAAGATCTATTGTTTAAATGACACACCTCTTCCTTTTTTTATTATCTTAATTGCCATGTTGGGAAATATAGTGGAGTGGTTTCCAGTTGCCTTCTCCGTGGTTTGGGGTTCATTGTTTCTCTTCTCTTAGATTGATTACCACTAGAGCCTAGAAAGTCCAGTATACTCTACTGTTTATTCAAACCATAGCTGTCTTCGAAGACTCAAGGATCATACCTTTGCCAAGGTTGTTCTTAAGGATGTGAATGCCACAGACTAGGCTGGAACTTGAACACGGCTCACCAATTCGACTTTCCTCATCAATTTTCGTTACATCTTCCTTCATATCCACATCGATGCATTAGGTTTTTTAGTTTAGTTTGTTTTTATTGTGTAGATATTTTCTGTAGAATTATTTGACTATGTTTTATGTTAATTTGATTGTTGTTGTAGAGTAGTTTTCATAGTGGAGGCTTGTATTTCAATAAGTCGTCCTAAATTAGGCTCGACGTACAAAACGTTAGGAACTTGAAATAAGAGTTAATGACGCAGCAATCTAGTTGTGATGGTTGGTACTTCAATGTCCGATATCGACTGACTCGCTCAACACCACTGAGCTCAGCTGGCGATCGCTACTACTACTACTACTTATTATGTGTGGGAGAGTATATTAATAATAGAATAGGTACGTCAGGTATAACACCCCCCTAAAACTTTGCTCCGTAGGTATAAAAAGTTTTCTTTCTTTCTTTATTTTATTTTTTTTATTTTTAGCAACATCGTAGCGTATCTCCTACGTTTTGGGTCCACTTTTAAATGATCAGTTGCCTTTCTTTTTTTTCTTCTGGATCGGTGTACCTTAGGTAAAATTATTTGCAAGTGTTGTTAGATCAAACCTTTTGAAAATCACCTCCATCGGCGTTTTTTTTTTTACTTTTTTTCACGGGACCGCTGTCAACCACGTCTGAAAAACGTCGTCTGATCTGTTTACTGCACATGAGTTTTCCCCCTTTCACCAAGTACGTCATATAGCCAATCCGCTTTTCTATTTTATATATATATATATCTCCAAAGCGTTACCAGAAACAACCTTCCGCTTTGAACTTCTTAAAGATGGACTCACAGTTTCTGTAGATTCTTGTTGACTTAAATCATTTAATAATACTGCATGTTCTTGGTTGCGTGTTACACGTTCCTCAGTTTTTTCAGTGTCGGCTTCATTTTTACTTTCTGAAGCTTGGTTTTCACGTATATTTTCGGTGTTACACATTCAACATTTTTAAATACGCCGTTTTTCTCTAATCTGTCCAATTCTTTATCTATCTGTTCAATTGAAGCAAACAGCACATTCCTTTTCTTTTTTAATACCGCCTGAGCGTTTTGTTTTGGCTGTAACCTTGCCTCCATCTTGGTACACGTTCCCAAACCTGGATAAAAAACAGTAGGAAAAGTTCCCTTAAGTTTCTGTAGTAATTTTATGGCTTCGCAGTTTAAATTTTCAAACTTGTAACAGAAAGAATTAATTGGTAAATCCCATAACTGAAATTCTGTAAGCAATCCGTACCAAGTAAGTTCGTGGTATTTTTTATAACAAATAGTTTAGCTTTTCGTGTTTTTTTATTTAACGTGAGGTTTGTAAAAAATTCTCCAATAAATTGTATTTTTTCTCCTGTCACTGACCTCGCGATTTTATTTGTCTTCATTAAAGTTGGTTTCCCCAACTTCTTCCACGTATTCAAATTTATGATAGATAGGTCGGAACCAGTGTCGAGTTGCATTTTTTTTATTTCGACGGTAACAAATTTTCTGGTTATTCCGTCGTTCACTTCCTCGGACTTTAATTTTCATATTTTATTGTCTTTATTTTTAACCTGCAGTGCGAGCTTTTATGCCCCAGTCTTTCACAGTTGAAACATTTTTTATTCCTAAAATTGCAATATCTATACCAGTGAAGTTCACCGCAAGCAAAACATGGCTTCGGGAGTTTTTGTTTATTTTTCTCTGGTATTTCACTTTTTGTTTGATAATCCGCAATTTTAGAATTCTTTTTGGTAGACTGACTTTCTTTTTTGTAGCATTTTTTGTAGTATTTTTCTTACATGCGAAACGCCAGACTGTTCTATCTTTTTCGAGTCTTTCTTTACGCTAACATATCTTGTGCAGTCTTCTGCCAAACTCTGTACCGAAATACTCGGTTCGTTTTCCAACTTGAAAGTATCAATTTCCTCAATTCTGCGTCTCTTTCTGAAACTAGTTCTTGCACTTAAAATTGTCAGCGCTTAATTCTGCTAGTTTGAATTCTTCACAAGGCTTGTTCACATTAGCTGCATACGTTATAAAGTCTTGTTCATCCTCTTTCATCAGATTCAAACATTTCCACCTCTTGTGAAACAAAGATGTCTTTTTACTAAATAATTCACTTAATATATTTACCGCCTCGGTAAAAGTCAACTCGCTAGTTTTTTTCGGTAAAATGTAGTTTACCAATTTGTTATGTTCAGCAGTTCCTAACTTGCTTAAAAGAAGTCTAACCTGCTTTCCTTCAGACCACGTGTGGCAGTCCTCGTTATACACGTCCGTATATTTTTTAAAATACTCTTCAAAAGTTATTTCTTCGTCTGGACTGTACGTGAATATTTCAATCGAATTCCATATTGTATTCTCTGGGAAAGAATCATTTTGTAGATTTTTCTCTTTCCTCTTCTCAGTTATTTCCAGAATTTTGTTTTGAAACTCCTTATGCATCAGTTCCATTTCTCTTTGAAACTGTATCTGTCTATTAAAGGTTTCCTCCTGAAGTTGTATCTGGAATGTTTACTGTAGCTCTAATATTGTCTTTTGTTGTTCCGCCTGGAACTTAGAAATTCCTGGAATATATTTTTGCATTCCTCCATCTTCGCAACAAGTTTACACAATGCTTAAATATTGTAGAGAGGGGTCAAAAACAAATTTGTAATTCGTGACCTATTTGAGCAAACTGTCTTATCGAGAAAAAAATTCTTTTCTCAGTTGAGAATACGACTGATATTTTAGTCACTAAGTTGACGTCTTGTCTTTCGAAAAACTTTGCCAAGTTTTTTTTTTTTAAATGTGAATCCGAGATGTTGTCGCCGAAAATTTGACGAGCAATTTTTTTTTCTCTTTTTCCTCCGTATGAAAAAAGAATTTCGTCACTAAATAACGTGAGCGAATTTTTTTCTCTCTGTATGAAACCCAATCCGACGTACACCACGTTTATTATGGCGGGTGAATTTTTATTTTCTCTTCTGTATGAGTTACGAATCCATGTCGTCAAGTGATGTAGAGTGAACGCAAATTCTTTTCTTTTTCCGTATGAAATACGTTCGTCGCCAAGTGTTGTATGTGGCGAAACGAAATATATATTTTTTTCGTATGAATTTCGAATTCTGGTCGCCAATGTGTTGTAAAGTGAACGAAAAATTTTTCTTTTCTCGTGTGAGAAACGAATCCCTCATCACCAATGTTGTTGTTAGGCGTACGAAAAGTTTTTTTTTTCTTTCTCCGTGTGAGTTTCGAATCCTCGGTCACCAATGTTGTAAAGTGAACGAAAAATATTTTCTTTTCCCGTGTGAGAAACGAATCCTTCGTCGCCAATGTTGTAGAGTAGTTTTCACAGTGGAGGCTTGTATTTCAATAAGTCGTCCTAAATTAGGCTCGACGTACAAAACGTTAGGAACTTGAAATAAGAGTTAATGACGCAGCAATCTAGTTGTGATGGTTGGTACTTCAATGTCCGATATCGACTGACTCGCTCAACACCACTGAGCCCAACTGGCGACCGCTACTACTACTACTACTTATTATGTGTGGGAGAGTCTATTAATAATAAAATAGGTACGTCAGGTAAAACAGATGTGAATGCCACAGACTAGGCTGGAACTTGAACATGGCTCACCAATTCGACTTTCCACATCAATTTTCGTTACAGCTTCCTTCATGTCCACATCGAGGTATTAGTTTGTTTTTTTTTTAGTTTAGTTTGTGATTATTGTGCAGATAATTTCTGTAGAA